GAAAATCACGAAATCATGCCAGTTCTAATACAATTATCATAATTATAACAAACTACATATTGTATATTACCATAGGAAGTAAGTATGGCAACAGAATTTGTTTACAGAAAATCATAATATTACTCTAATTCCAATAGGATGTAATTTCAATATAATAACCATAATAAACTATGTCATTATAGGAGGTAAGTACAGTAACAGTGAATCATGATAGAAGTCACGCTAATTCTACGTAATATGGCAATTCACTACCATTGAACTTTTGATATCATTAGATCGCAAATGGGAAGTAGGGTTATTATTAAAAATGGAACATCGGTAAGTATTTTTGATTTTTATTATTAGTACATAGAAGAATGGAATTTAGTTTCGTGACCGGTGTTTAAAATTCAAATTTGATTTATGTTCTTAAAAAGCATTTTTTGAAATCTTAATGTTTTCAAAAATTTTTTAATGTTCGCAATATTAGAAAGTTAATTTTTTTAATATTAAAACTTGTTAAATGTTCTCAAATAGAGAACATTTTTCAATAATTCACGTTCATATAAATTTTTAAGCGTCCTCAGAATACTAAGAACATTGAATTTTAAACAATGTTTGTGACATGCTTGTTTATGTGTTTGATAGGTCGCGGCAAAACAGCCTAAATATATTGACATGGAAGAAAATTGGATTTTGGCCACAGTTGTAGGATATCGAACTGATTTAAAGAGGTAACAAAAATCTCGTATAACATTCAAAAATTTTCCAATGTGCTCTAATTCTAATAATTCACCTATTATAATTAAGTTACGAAGTCGAGGATGCAGATAAAGATGAGGCATCAAATAGGCCTGGCGAGTAAGTTCCTCTAATTTTTTGCCATCCTTTGTTCACAGCTCAAACACTTCCACATTTCCTACTCTTCATTCTCATGTACTTATCCTTTGTTAATACAGGCGATTTTTAGTACCAGCGAAAAATGTTATAGCAATCCCAAATCCTGGAGAAAAGCGAACACTGGAATTTCCAAAAGATTCAACAGTCATAGCATTATATCCTTCTACAACATGTTTTTATAAAGCTGTTGTAGTTATTCCACCAAGTAAATTAACACCAAAATCTTCACGGTATTTGCTTACTTTTGAAGATGATGACAATGCTGAGAGATACGTTGACTCACGTTATGTGATTGATATACCTAAGGGGATGTAAATGAAATATTATTCTTTCCGTACCAAAACTGCCAAGATTATAATTTATTCGATAAGGTACGAATTCCAAATCTAATCTGGATAAAGATTACATAAAGAAAATCTTTTAAAGGATCACCCGAATATCTTAGATCTTTTTCACAAAACGATCATGTAAAATAGATTTAACCCACTAAGTATAATAATAACGATATTATTTGCCAAAATATCACTGATCATTACCGGAATGCTCCAAAAAAGAATATGATTAGTCTTGTTTATTGTTATTTATTGGTAGCAATCAAAGCAATAAAGATTTTCATAAAAAAATTTTATACAGTATATTGTTCTAAGCCAATTAGTTTGTAAATTCGTGCAATTATTATAGGTTAGTAAAAGTCAGGCCTACCTTTCATCAGAAATGATGTGCAATCGGCATAACACAAAACATTTCATTACTTCAAAAATTGTAGTGATTGATATGAACTTAAAGAAGAGCAAAGTGCAATAAATCCAAATTAGAGGATTATAATTAACCAAAGCATATCATCAATAAACCAATTTTATTAAAGTTAAGAATTCAAAAAGCTCGAGCAGAAATGTTGTGCTCTAATGAGTCTTTCGATTTGTTAATAACTATAAAATTGGTCAGCAATCTTTTTTTTGTACCATGATTCTCTTAAGTTCTACATTCTATTATTGAAGTAAGCTTTGATATGAAACAACAAAACTCGATTTAAATTGACTAAACCGAGATCAATATTGGTTACCTACTAAAAGAAGAGCTAAACCTCAGAAAAAAAACTATAAATAAAGAATGGATTCGATAAAGAATTTTTGGGGAACTGCACTAGAACTGGTATGCGCGTAACGCACGTACGTACAGTGCGTACGTACGCACATACCTGACACGTACTGTACGTACATATCTATATAGTACAAGAGCAAGTACAAGTACGTACGTACATATAAAATGGGCAATTGGAAAATGTGTACCAGGTTGGTGGCGCAGACAAAATTCTTAAAATTAGTTAAGGTCAGAGTTAGGGTCAGGGTTAAGAACTGGAGAGGATAGTTTTAATAGTAAAATTGTCCAACGAAAACTTTTGTTAGAGCAAAAAAGGTGGTTTTTTATGCTGATTTTTGAGTTATGGGCGATTTTTGGCAGAATGAACGTTTGTTTTGAATCTTCTTGATTGTGTTACATTACTCCTAATCTTGAAAGCTGATTCGTAGATCAAAAGAACTACATCACCAACCTGGTACACATTTTCTGACTGCATAAAATGGTTGGAATAAGCAATTTCCTTTTTAGTTTAAATAGGAAAAGTGGCGCTCACGGGAATACACAAAAATACGATCCATCAAATGAAAATGCATTTGCTTGAGCAAATTCGGAAATAAACAAACGATAAGCATCAAACAAAATCTTATGGTTGTTAAAAGCCCCATTCCTGTACTATTTTAAATCCCGCCATTTTTTGATCCTTTCAGAGACGAACTATCCTTAAATGCATTCAAAAAATTACTCAAATAAAATTGCTTAGTCTTGAGAATGTTGAAAAATATTAATCTTCCGTCAAACACTTAACTACGAATTCATTGTCTGCATGTTTGAGTACGTAAACGTAATTTGTAATCCAAGGTTTCATTGGTAAAATAATAAATTGATTACGTACATAATTCTTATAAATAATTAGTTACATACGTCAAATAACCTTAATTTACATCCAAGGTCAAAATATTTCGCATATTTAATAATGAAATGTGAAAACTGCCTAATTGATAAACTTTCAGAAGAATTTCCGCATGGTACAATTAGTTCTACCTGTGAACACGTCGCATATTGGTGTTTAAAGGTATGTTATCTTTATTAATAATATGATGTAAATACACTATTTAATTGCTTAATTTGTCTTTTTATTAGTGCCTCGTAAATTACTTGAAAGAAACGCTGCATCAATGTCCTATATGCAAAGCTGAATTAACTGAACAAGAATTTAAAGAATATTGCCTGCTTTGGGACAATGCAAACTTTAAAATTAATTTCGAAAATATCTTACAAGCATATACCGAACTTTCTGAACAAAATAATACAAATTCAGAAATATTTTATGTTGTTAGATTAAATGGAGAAAAGTTTAAATTAAAACTCTCTGAAATTAATACAGTTAGAAAATTAAAATATATATTAATGAATTATACTAAGATAGATATTGATAATCAAATGTTAATTTATCAAAACATTGAACTCGAAGTGCGCAACATATTTTTTTTTCATTAAGTCTTTATAATTTTTAACTTAATATCTTATCATTTTTATACAGGATGGAATTAATAATACACTCACAAGTTATGGAATCTGCGCAAATAGCTATATTCAACTTATCGTCATCCTTTATTCTATCTCAAAAAAGGATGCTTTAAAAAATTTGGTATTCGATTTATATTGGGGTTACCCCGCCTTGGAAACAGACTTTCTCGATGGCTCCTGTCTAATATATGAAGGTGATAAATTATGGAAAAAATATGACTTCGCAAATAAGGTTTATTCTGATGTATCATATATTACTCATTCCGGTGATGTCATAGACAAGAATAATGGTTTGTCCTAATATTACAGTATACACCATTATATATTACATTTTTATGTGTGTTTGATAATTTTAAATTATCTTCACAGCTACAGGACATCAGAAAATTAAAGTGAAACTCGATCAACTTCCTCTTAGTGTTACGCAGCTTTATCTAATATTAAGTTCATATATTTCTCCGACAATTGAACATTTACGGAATCCAAGCTTTAGATTATATGATGAAGAGAGACCAGATGAACAGCTATGTAAATATAATATACATAGAGCTGATAAATCACAAGCTGTTATAATGTGTCTTATTAATCGATCAAAATATGGTGAGCTTTTTTAATATTAAAATTTGTATTTTTTAAGGTTTTATTTTTTAATAAAATTTTCTTTTTTTTTTGATTATAGGCAAATGGAAAGTAATTGAAGTAGGTAGACTGTCAAAAGGAAACGCCATGGACTATGAACCAATAATGGAAAATATCAAAGATCTTATTAACATTAAAGTTAAAAATGAGTTGCTTTTGCCTATTACATCATGATCTGTTAGCGCAAATAGTAGATATACAGTAATCATCTAAATCGTTAAAGAGATTTTTATTCAGCTGGTAGATACATGATTTATTCATTACCTATGTTGCTGGTCGAAGATTATCAAATAAAAATTTTGACAATATTTATAGACTAAGTTGACTGGAAATCTGGTAGAATTTGCAGGCAGCCATGTTACATATTCAATTCGTCAATGTGGTCCTTCTTGGACACATTTGGACAATAATCAACATTACTCATAAATCAGGGCAATACTACCCATAAATCGTGCTAACCCTAACTTCTGAACTTAAATTAGGTTAACTCGTTATCGATGATGCTTATATATGTCTAAAAGATTTGAATGTATATATATATTTGAAATACGTATATTGAAACATTATTTAATATTTAAAATAAAAATCGTAAATGTTTTTTTTCCATACTGAATACCAAATTTTGGTAGTGAAACTAGATGAGTTAGAAAAGCCAATATATATTGGGTGAGTCAACAGAAATCAAGCAAATTTTTTATAATATTAAACAAAAAATAATTTGCCAAGTACTTAATCAAGCTTGATAAAATTTTTTAAATGAATTTTATAAACTTATGGAAATAATTTAAAATGGTTTATTTTAATTAAATTATTTTTTGTTTAAATTTTAAAAAACGTTACTAAAAAAAAAAATTCGTTTGAGCTTCTAT